CCTATGCGGTAAGTTAATATCATTTATATTTTTATCAACCTTAAAATAAATATTGTTCTACTGGCTATTTATAATAGTAAGGTTTCCTGGGCGTTATACCACTGTTACAGCCATACAAATAACGATGTGTGTTTTTTATTGATCATTCATTCCTGTAGTTGACTGTGAATCTGGTTTTTATCAACACTCAAGTGATGCTCCGTTTAAGTGTTTACCATGCCCAACTGGAAGTTATCAGCCTGGCATTGGAAGTGCGACTTGTCTGCCTTGTCCTGATGGTTATACAACTTACAAAGATAGTGCATTGAGAATTGATGAATGTGAGACTACTTATTATAATATTCTCAATAATACTTCTTCATTTGATCAGCCAGTTGTTTGCTGAATAATAGATCATTTTCCGTTCGAGATCCCGCGTTATGCGTAAAAACGAACGTAAAAACAAGACAAACAAAGGCCACAGCGTCTTAGTGGCGTCAATCATCGCGCGGGATTCGACAAACGCGAATATTTTTGGAGGATATTTCCACGCTTAAGAATGTTATGTACACATTTGATGATGGGTATGTAAACGCAATATTCTCCTGTCAAAGATCAGCCTTTCGACTTTGAGCTGTAAAAAAATGAAATTCGAGTTCAAAATCAAATTGTTCGATCTTTGCAGCAGGCGTTCGGTCCGCGTCTTTCACGCAATACTCAAGATCTCGCAGTTGAACGGAAAATCATTTGGCGGTCATTGCGATATACATTTTGGAACGCAAATAGTTAGCAATTGCCGCCGCGTGAACGAGTTACATTGTATGATTTCCCAGCACAACATAACTTTATGTCTACATTTTTCATATTCAGGTAACGTGTCATTAGTAAGTGACATGACAACACCGTCTCAGACCACAATTGTCGCCATTGAACTAAACGTATGTATAAGTCATAAGGATGAGTCATATTCTAATGATATTTAAATCGTTTCTGATGACACTACTGTAGCGTTGTTTCCCCATAGTGTAATCTCCGCGATGTAAGGTCACATCAGGCAGTATATTATATTATATTATGTAGCATGCTGAGTATTTGGTCACGTGTATATGTATATTGCATACTGAATTACGGGTAATGGGAAATGTGAAGGGGGCTTAAATGGGTAGAGAGATACACTGCTCGTCGCAGTTTCCCGTTCTTTTGTTTAACTCATTTTATCACTATACGTGTTTTGTTTAATGCAGAATCCTGGTAGTTCTGGTGACATTCTAAGTGTGCTAGATATAACAGCAGTTTGCTGTTCTGTCATTATTTTATTAGGTATGTTGTACGTTAATATTTTAAAATAGATTTTATAATAATAAAGTTGCTCAAACTGTTACAATAGTGTTGAAACTATTGCTGTTATTGAGCATAGTTCTCGCTAACTCTACTAATTCATGTCTTTTTTTCATTTCTTTTTTTTCGATTTAGTTATCGGCATTGTCATATACTATGTCGCGAACAGAAGAAATAAACGTGGAATATATAGGCCAACAGACAAAAGAGGTGTTTCAGTCGAAATGGACGGAACGAACGATGATCCCACATCTCAGAATAATTTCTATGACAATAGCTTTGGCATCGATGCGTTGGCCACTGAAATGTGAATTCGCCATATTTAAATCAACTGGAAATATATACAAACAACATGTATGGTTTTGCGTGTCATTCCGAGCATTTCTGTCCATCTTTTCATAATTAGTATTGATGTTATTTGTTTCATGATTTGATTCCATTTTTTCTATTTTTAATTACACTTTTACAAATATTTTATATTTGAATATTATATACCTATTTTAGCTTGTTTTATTTTGTATTTTAACAATAACTAGAGTTGATCACGATACATTTTTAGTATTAAACACTATTCATAAATAGCGGTTGTCGTCGCGATCATCTGCGATATTTCTAGTTGATAAACGGCAATTTCCCTAGTACCATTTTGACTTTACCAGTGACAAGCCGGAATGCGAGATTTGATCTACTTGCAATGTTCACTAAATACAGACTTCCACTACGTAGAGTATTTCGATGCGGTATAATCACCATAGGAATTGCTTACTAGAAATATTGAAGTCTCTTCAATGTACGCGTTGATCAGCGAAAATGGCTTCTCGTCATCTTTGTTAATATATGACCAATATCGCGACGACCACCGCCCTTCAAATACTGTGAGTTTTGTGTCAATTGAAATATATAAAATTTCAAGTGAAGCAAAATGTAATACATACATTTCTAGATATGGTATAGTTTTTACAGTTACTATGTACTTCTATTATAGTAATCAGAAATGTATACATAATGCTGCTGGTGTGATGTGTATTAAGCTAAAATTATTCACCAGTTAAATTACTCACTTACTTACTTCAACTGCAATAAACAGGTTCTTATCAACATGCATTTGACATAATTGCGTGATATAACTACAAATCAAAACAGTTAGTTATGGTATCTCTGCCAGCCCATTTTGAATTTAAAGTATGTTTTTGGTGTTTTGTTTTTACATTTCACGTCCAAATCTACATATTTGTAGATTTGAAATACAACTATAAACGATTGTTAATTTAGAACAAGAATATTATTTAGGTGCATGACAATAGGTATCAAAGTTCATCTGCTCTCGTGGTTGTCGATGCTGGATTTCAGTAGTTGTTTGTACAAATTGAAATCATGTATTCTAAACAGACATGTATAGAATCACGTGACCTATATCCAACCTAAATTTAAAACTGTTGGGGATAATGGAAAAATGCTTTCAATGCCGTTCACACTGAATATTGTAAAACGTCTATGGGATTTTAAAACATTAGTCCCTCCGTTGAGACTAAAATCTAGGTAATTCTAATTAACCCTTGGTCAGTATGACAGTGGCTTTTCGCTGCACTATATATACAATACACGGACAAAGCTATCTAAAATCAATTCGAACATTCTTTAATAAAATAGAAGTTTAGCAATAAGATATAGCTACATATAGCATATGTAACACATCTTACCAAAAAACCTGAAATATTATTATTATTATTATGCATCTCGTCAGGCGCGACGTGCAACCATTTTGACCAAACAACAATGAGCAAAGATCAGAAATCAATTTATTATATAATCCAGAGACAATAACACCACAAGTGTTTTCACACAGTACCTAAAATATATAGTGGGTGCCCCCCCCCCCAAATATATCAAAGTATGAACCACACAGTATATAAAGTGGTTTTTAACCACAAATCATATGGCTATTCTGAGACTGCGTAATACATCAGACAGCTGTCAATATATTGCAGGCCAATCAGTGAACACGATTTGCGGAATAGCGTCCTCTGTGTCAAAAACAAAACAGAGGTAAACCACCTGATCTCCCCTATAGAGGGCCTAAACCAGAATACGAAAGACTATTTTTGAGAGAAATGGTTGACCAGTGGCAGCGGGACAGGGGGCGGTCGTCCCCTCGAAAAAATTTTGGGGGCGTCACCCCTACAAAATCAAGCTGAAACCCTTTGTGTCAGCAAAATTTGACCCTCAAAATACAGGTAATAGCGTTTCAGAGGTTCTAGATTTCAAAATTGTTTATGGGCACGCCCCAGACCTCCTAGTAAGGTCACGCCTTCAGGACGAGGTTGTGAGTAGATCTCGCCCCTCCATGTAAAATTTTGGGCCGCCGCCTCTGTTGACCATATATGCCAGCACTTTATTAAAATAAATCACAGCGCAGCAATTCTGTATTGCGTCAATGTAACCAAACCATATTTATCACAGAGGTGCCATCATTTGAATGCGTTTCAAAACAATTGCTTAGCTATATGCATAATACAAACGTTACTTTAAATTATTAAAATCAGTATGAAAACGCACAAACACCTCAAAAATTACAATTCAGACATTTTTCCCTGAACATACTTCTCTCAAATATAGTATATCTTTTGAATAAATAACACCCCATTTATACATGCTTTGACATATTACAAAATCAAAGAAAGCTTAGAAAGAACTCCCATGTGCGGAGAGTATTGGAGACACAATAAAAAGAATTCAAAATTACTTGTACTTGAGATATGTATGGAAAAGCTGAAAACTAATTATGCAAATCAGAAAATTAATATAATAAGATTTGAGTGTAAAACTAATGAGGTCTGTGCAATGTAACAGATCATCTATGTACCAAGTTGTATTGAAATTATGAATTATAATGCTAATTAGGGAATTAATATCAACAGATTTTAACCCCAAACTAATCAGGTTTGTACATTGTCTTAGAGCATCTTTATACTAAGTTTCATTGAAATGGAATAATTTGTACTTTAGATATCAGGGTGATAGCTCAAAATTGGTTAGGTAATTAATATGTACAGATTTTAACCCACAATTAAAATTGGTTAATCATGCAAATTAGGTGGTTAATAAGCATAAATATTTACCGAAAACCAATTGGGTCTCTGCATAGTTCTAGATTCATTGAAATGTGATGATTAGTACTCGAGATATCAATGGAAACGTTGAAATTAATCATTATGCAAATTATTATGCACAATTATTTACCCTAAAACTAATTAGGTCGCCGCATAGTCTTAGAAGATCGATGTACCAAGTTTCATCGAAATGTGATGATTAGTACTTGAGATATCCATGGAAAAGCTGAAAATTAACTAATTATGCAAATTAGGTGGTTAATATGCACAAATATTTATCCGAAAACAATCAATCTCTGCATATATATAGTCCTCGATTATCTATGCGCCACGTTTCATTGAAATGTAATGCTTACTAATTGAAAGCTGAAAATTAATTGATTATGCAAATTAGGTAATTAATATGTACTTAAAACTACCAGGTTTGTGCAGTGTCCTATGACATCTATGTACCAAGTTTCATTGAATTGTGATGATTAGTACTTCGACACCAGTGGAAAACCCGAAAATTTACTAATCATTATGCAATCATTATTAGGTAATTAATATGCACAGATTTGCACCAAAAACTAATCAAAACCTAGCATTAGTTCAGATCATATATGTGCCAAGTTTCATCAAAATCCAATGAGTGGTTGTTTAGATATCAGTGGAACAGTCATGGAACAGCTAAAAATTGGCTAATTATCATGTAAATTAGGTAATTAATTTGCACAGATTTTTACCAAAAACTAGTCAAATCTGCACATAAGTTTATAGCATCTATGTACCAAGTTTTATCAAAATCCAATGAGTGGTTGTTAAGATATCAGTGAAACAGTCATAGAACAGCTAAAAATTAGCTAATTATCATGCAAATTAGGTAATTAATATGCATGGTTATAATCAAAACCTAATCAAATCTGCGCCTTGGCCCAGAGCATATATGCACCAAGTTTCATCAAAAACCGATGTATGGTTTTTGAGATAGCAGTGGAACAGACGGACACACATTCACACGCACACATATACAGGTGTCCCATGAATTGTAGAGCCACCATTGGATTAACTTGTAATATAGTTGAATTAACTTTCAATATAGTTGCGATATGAACT